GGGATATAATGTATAGGCCTGGTGGGTTCAGGGTCTTTCATCTTACATCTGCCTGCGTGCAGTTTGGAGGTGCAAGATACCTGAGCGTGTAATGTTAATTTTACCTGTGATCCTTTGAATAAATCAGCACTGTTTTGTAGTTACTTGGACTGTCTCGTCTCTCAGAGTTAGTAATGGTAACAAGAACCAAAGACCAACACCAGTCACTGGTTAACCTGAGCAAATACAATGCAGATGCTGTATGTCAAGCCAAATATCTGCTTTTTGCTTAGGTGATTATTGTTTTAAGGCTAGGTTAGGTAGGCTAGGACTGCTTAACAGAATGACAACCCTCAATGCTTTACCTTTTAAATCTACCTTTGTACATACAGTATCTATCTGTAAAAATGCATATGAACTATATATATATATATTTTTCCTTTTTTGTCCTCACGGTCTTATTTTGTTTACTTGTCTATTTGTTGCTTTACAGAACAACATACACATTGAGAGCCACTGTACCTGAGCCAAACTCTTCATGTGTCCAACACCTGGCCAATAAAGCTGATTCTGATGGTGTTGCCTACTGTGGGGTTCTGAAGATTTGACGGCATGGCCTGACACCCTCATCTTTGGGGCCAGTAATGGGTAAACATCATTTAACTTGTTTATTGAGCTTCCATATGGATGCTCGCCCATTTTTTGGCACATTTAATTGTATAACACTGACTGCATCAAAATTAGTAAGTCAGTTTAGATATCTCAATACAACTGAATAACTCTGTATTATGATAATATACTGTTTTCTGCAGTATTCATAGATGAGCTCTTTCTGAATCTGTTGTCGCAGTAACAAAATGCAGTGCTGTTTTACAAGTTAGTTAAATCACAGTTGAGCAGCTCTATAGATGTGAATGATGACACAAAGTGACAATGACTCTGTCCAAAATCTCAATTTACTGCTCACTATTGAGTGAAATACTGAGTGCACATTATAAAGGGAGGAGTGAATGAGTGAGCCATTTTAGACACATTTGTAGCTTGTGTTTCTTTTTGGTTCTGATGCATGTCTTGTTCACACTGATTTTCTTTTTTCTTTTTTACAAACACATAGCTGTACACATGACAGACAGGTAACTAATTCACTGGACAGTTTTAGTGATGCCATCAGCGCTACATGGACCAGTGTGAGGAAATCAAATCTTGGTGACTGACAGCAAGTTACATGAAGCAAATGCTACCTTGTATGTCATAAATAGTAAACAGCATTGGTACCAAAAAATTATTGAATGTTCGTTAACTTTTTATTGAGGAAGTGATAAAATAAATCAGAAAATCTGTTTAACGCACCTCTGTTTTCATTCAGAGGAAATCCCTGCACTCCTGTGCTAACACACACAAATGAAAGCTAAATAATTCTGCATGAATATAAGCTATCCATATAAATCACTTTCCTAATAGTTTGTGATGAACAGATTGTAAGTAGTTTCTCTTTTGAATTCATATTGTATTAACTAGAGCTGTTTCAGATTGTGCCAACAATCTTTAACATAGTTACCAGAGGATATCACCTAAGAGCTCTCTTGTCTCAGGAATAATGTTGTAGTTGCTGCTTAATCATTTCATTCTCTCAGATAGTAGTGAGGTAAACAACTATGGCTGCTGTGTAGCAGTCTGTGTTGCCCACTCAGCAGTTACTGTTAATTGGTGCAGTTGGATTGAATGGCAGTTGTCTGTGTTGGTCCCTTGGTAAATACCAGTAAATCCTATGGATTGGCTCTTTATTGACCTAATAGACTCCAGAGGGGGCCTGTGTGCATTGGCACATGCATACGCACAATGATTTCTGTTTGGTGTGTATTCTTCAGGACTCCCACCTGACAACTCAATATACAGTTGTGTGTGTTTGTATGTGTGGAGACAGCAGTCCAGCTTTCTCTCTCACATACACCACAGCTGTGCGGGCCCCTTCAGAGGCTAAAGCACTGATTGTCTGCCTTTGACGCACAGATTAGCTGGCTGGGTTGGTAAAGTGCTGCTGGTAAAATTTCCCTATAATACTAGCACAGAGTTCTCCTCCTTGAATTCTTTCTCTTGTAAATGCAAAATATTAAATACATGCATTAAGGCTAAGTGTAAATCTTGCATTTGTCCAGATTGTCTATCAATCACATCCTGAACTTCCAGCTGTCAGTCTCCGGGGAGTGAGCAGAACAACTGGCAGCCAACATTTTTCAGTCTGTTTTTCCCTGTTTGGCTCTGTATCATGACATTCACTGACAGTGATAATTCTTGACTGCTTGACACATGATTTGGTCCCAGGTCTGCCTCATGAATTTCCTTCCTCTGTGGTACTGAAATACATTACATGAACTGTCAAAAACTCCCATTTGTTAAACTGGGCCTCCTGAACACTATTTGTGCTGATGAACTCTGCAAGGGACACTGCAAACAGGCCTCAAGAACCAAACTACCCACAACACAGCACTCTCTGTATGGCCCTGCATACAAAAAGAACATCTGTGTCTTAAGTTCTCACCAGAATAAAATATCATCTGTGTGTTTATATGGTCTGTTAAATGTTACATTCTTTTTCAAATGAAAGCAGGTTTTATTTTATTTCTGACAGCATCCTATCGCTCTATAAACTTGATCTTTTTCATAGCTGTAGTCTTGAAAAGACAGGCGAGGAAGACAGAAGACTTGAGAGCAAACTTAAGAACTGGAGATATGATGTCACATCCCTCCAAATATATTACAAATGGAAATTTGTCCTTTGGAATATTTCTAATGACCAGTCATCAGATGCCTCCAAAAGCTAAGTGAAAGCAAATTTCCTCTCCTCAATATTCAGTGTTAAACTGTCAGTAAAACATACCAAATGTCCACAGGAGGCCTGTCTCTTGTTGTGATTCATGTTGGTTTACAGGTCAACTAGCAACAGTGAGTTGGAACAGTTGTGAATGCAGCTCCAGAGAGCATGCTTGGATTTTTGGCTGTGTGTGTTACTGCTGTTACTGATAAACAGACCAGAGGATGATCTGAGTTTGGTTTTCCCAGTGACTTGTCTTTTGAGAAATTACTCCTTATGATTTGTGAACTGTGTTGCTGGGAACAACCAACTTATCACGTTGTGAACACCCACCATGCAGTTGATGGTTAAAGAATTAATACTGTATAGTGAAGCATCTTGTGCTCACATATACACTGTGTGTTGGGAATCTGCACATTCAGATTCAAATAGTAGCTCATCCAGGCACAGTCTCAGTAGTGCTTTATTTTATTTGGCTATTCACTACCCTGACCTTAAAGGATAAGGCTGGTCATTTTCTATGTTAACAGTATTTTCAACACACCCCATACAGAAACTAAAACTAACCATGAGTAGTGGCAGTTCATTGTTGATGTCTGTCACTGTGTCAGCCCTGCATTAACATATTAGGTAGACCTCCACTGTTATTCAGAAACATTTTAAAACCCAGCAGGGAAACACACTGCTGCACTCAGTAACATTTCCTCATTACAAAACACAAGGCCCTGATATTTAACAATATACAGACATTTCATGCACAGACATTTGACTCTTGACATTTGACCTGAGGGAGGAGGAAAAAGTATATACTGTATTTAATGGATGCATATTCTTTCTGTAAGTAAAGTTGCATAACTGGAAATTTACTTCAAGTCTCACATAGGGCCCTGTTCTTATGCCATTTCAGATGATCAGATGCTTTCTCATTCTCTGCAAAGGTTACAAAGACTTTTGCCAGGTTTTATTAGCTGTACAAGCCCCAGATTTCATGTTATCAGGTTGTAAAAATGGTATGACTTATTTATTAATTATTATGTAAAAGTACAATTGTTCATGTTGCTAATTCATTGATAAATTCACAAGGGTTTCTTGTGTCCTACATTTTAATGAACTCCGTGATGCAAAATTTCCAGTGTTGTTTTCTTTCAAGAGGCATTTTGACCCCATTCAGTATAAAATCTACCACAGAGAGACAGTTCCTGTTCTTCTATTTAGCCCCATCACTTTGCCTTTCATTGTGTGTCAGCGTGTGTCAGTCCAGCAGCAGTACAGCATGCCTGACTGTCTGCGTGTGTGAGGGTAGAGTTTCCTCTTAGCCTGGGATGATAAAAATCCACCACTCACATATTTCACCACTGCTGCTAAGTGGGTGATCTATCACGCCTGAGTTCTGCAATATACCAGTTTTGAAAAGCAGCAACATCTAGTTAAAAAAAACACACACACACACACACACACAAACACATGGGCAGAAATCATAACAGTGATGGTGACAGTGATGCAAGAGATAAAGGAGCAGTACGTGTATTAGAGCATGGCAGCAGGTCGACAGGCGGTGACAGCCGAGAGAGAGAGAGATTATTGGAACACACACGCACACACACATATATACAGGCACTCAAAAGGTAAGATATGTCTCCAAGCATAGAGATGTACTTTGCTGTAATCTCATTGTCTACATGATACACTTAGATGGATGGTTACAGGAGAAAGGGAGGGTGTGCTGCACTGACTGTAGGCTGTTCATCCCACTTTTCGTTCTGGTAGACCCACTCCCATAGTCAGCCACTTGTGGGCCTTCACATGTCTGTTTAGTTTGATATTTTGCACTTGTAGTCTTCTCAAACGACATGCTTGTATCTTTTTAAGTCTTTCTTTATGCAGTGCTCACCAACCATACTGCATGATATGTTTGAAAGAAGTACTCTACTAATGGCAGCTTAACACTCCTCTCTCGACTAAACATAAATTTGATCATTTCTGGATGAAATCACACTGTACAACAATCTTTGTTCTGTACAAAAAAATGTGTTCAAAACATCTGACTTAGTCAAATCATGTGAGTATCTATGTCCCAGGAGATGGTTTATATTGCTGTTTTTGAGGCTTGGCAATATGGCTGCCAAGAAAAACCCTTTTAAAATGAATTTGTAAGAAACAAATTCTTTAGGGAAACACAAGACATTGTGCACTGGGAAATCTAATTCTGGAAGATACATGCAGCCAATTGGTTCAGCTGGAGGAAAAGTCAGAGTTTGTTGGGCAGAATTATAATTTTTTTTTGTTGAATGGGGCTAAATAGCACCTGGCTGAGATTCATTCATAGCACAAGCTAGACCAACTAGCACACTGGTTCCAAGTGTAGTGGCATAGATATCTCAGTTCTATCTAAATATTACCTAAAAGTGCAGTCCTAGAAAAATGTTTCAGATTTGTTTTAATATCATGAGATAGCATTTATAAATCATATGTAGTAAGCACCACTCAGTCTGTGAATGTTGCTCTATGCACTTGAGCACATGTGCCAATGTTCTAACAATCTGAAAGACAAGCCTATACCAACCCCTAACCTGACTGTGGGTCTGCATATGTGCAGAACCATTATGTGAGCTTGGGTAGTTGGCATTTGTGTGCAGGCACAAAGAGCGTTTAGCACTGTCAGTCATTGAATTTTAACTGAATGTCTTAAACAGTAGGTAGAAATCCTAGAATCAGTATTAAATTCATATATTTGGATGCTTTTTTTCATTATTGTGGATTCAAATGCATCATATGCTTTAAACCGATGGAGCTCTCTATGGTTCTCTACTGGGCTGTGCACACAGTTCACATTTTATTTTAAACACAATATTGCTTTTCATTTTTATGCAAATGGGATTCAATTTGAGCTCCTCCACGACAAAGAATACACAGGAGAGTGTAATTCTGGCCCTTTGCGTGGCTAGGGTGAAAAATAAAAGTGATCAGGCCTTTGCAGTCACAGCTGACCTGAGCTGACCTGCCTGGAGAAATTACTCCAGTCAAGCACTTTATTAATATTATTAGTCATAATTATTAGTAATAATAGTAGTAGTAATAGAACTCATGGAAGTAATCACAAATTTATTGGTATTTGTAGTTTTACAGTATATAAAGCTTTGTCTTGTACAAATGGACTTGTCTGTGTATTATTTACTGGAATATTTCAAAAGAAAATTTGCAACAAGTCCTCCAACTTAAATAACATTATACTGTACGTGGCTGCCCTACCTTCAAATACAAACCACAGAACAGAATTATTAGCATACAGTTATGATTATGGAACCATGATGGTTTGAGGTTTAGCACAAAATGACTTGGTTAGGTTTAGGAAAAGATCATTATTTGGGTTAAAGGACTTCTTTAAGTTTACGGGACACCGTCATCATGGTTACAACAGGGCTATATGCTGTTAACATTGTGGAACTGTCATGAAATCAAGAGCCCTGTGTTTTCTAACCTATCCACCCACCCTAGTCTCCTCCTGATGCAGACTTTGTCACTCTATAGCCTATACTACATCTCCTACCTTCCTCCTTAGCTGATGTCATATACTACTGTCACTAGAGGTCACCTAACTATAACATGTTACTGTTTGTCATAATAATCTGCTGGCACCAATGTCATACAGAGTTGTTTCTCACAGGAAGACTTGCTCAGTATAAAAACTGACACCACACCTGCCTATATGATTCAACAGAGTTTCATAAACAGTTTGAGAGATGTCATTATAACAAAGTTAGATGAAATGATACAAAACATCCTGCTGCAGAAGAGAGATGTTAGAGAAGCAACAGCCCAAAAACATACAAGGACTCTCTTCTGTCTGACTTCCATGTTGGAAGAATACTGTTTGTTGTCCTGTATTGTGCCTAGTGGTTCGGGACCTCAGCTGGGTTTATCCCTGTCCTGTTTTCTGTGTTTTATCATTCCAACAGAAAGGCAGTAACTTGATACACTGACTTGATTACACTGAGGTAATATTAATATGTAAGCATTAAGAGATACAGTCGATAATAGGTCTCACAGTTCAGGAATCCCTTATTAGCTAAAGTGTATCCTATAATATTTAAACAGGATGGGAGGAATCCCCTTTTTAAAAAAGAAAGTCAGAATTCACAAATGGCAGTTTATCCTGTTCACTCTAGGCTAGGACTCAAAGATTTTTTTAAAGCATATATAATCTACATTCCACCTTTTAAACAAATTTTAATCTATTTGTGATCAGTTTGCCAGATGTTAATTGATGGAGCAGCAGTGGAGCACTGGAGCTTTCATTTGACTGTATTAAACTGTGGGTGAGGACCCTAAAAATAGTATTATTCATAAATTTTCTTATGTTGTTGACTATGTTAATATTTTTCCCCTGCAGCCAACAAGTATCAATTTGTTTATTATTGATGTCATTATTATTATTATTATTATTATTATTGTTATTATTATCGGAGAAATCTGTACTGAATCTGTCACCTAAGAACACGTCATTGTTCTGTTCCTTTCACTTGAATATCTCTCACGCGCGCGCGCGCACGTACTGCCTGCCTGTCACACTGAGCCAGTCATCTTGTAATGGCTGCCAGTGCTCATTGTTCACATCCTGCTTTGTCTTCAGCGCCATTTTGACTCTGCGGGAGGAGGCGCAGCTAGTTAGCATCAAATCCACACACACTAATGGCAGGAAGCTAGACATGCTAACTCACGGTTAGGCTTTCATTCATCATGTTATCTTAACATTGGGAAAAATTCAGCAGTGCCGAGCTACAGTTCACTCCCATGCTCACACACGAACAATAGATAAGCTGCATTAGACTAGACTGTAGTCTCAGGTCCAACACTGCCAGTACAGGCTACACTGTAGCTGCCCTGCTAGTCTCACATGGTGATAGTGCTGGTGGAGGACCACGCCATGCTGACTATTAGCTCCTACTCACAGGCAGGGGGCTACCCATGCTAAGCTAAGGTGTGACAGAGACAAAGAGCGATCCTGTTTCTCCTCTTTTTATGTGCACATTCTTTCTCAAAGGTTTATGTTGTAGCCTGGACCGAGGTTTATGTTGTAGCCTGTGGTGTGGGAAAACTAGACAGAGCCAAACATTTTAATCTGACATCAGCATTCAGTCCGAGTTAGGAGCCAGAATTAAAATATATACTGAAAGAAGACAACAAAATAAAAATGACAATTTAGTTATTTAATGATAATTACAAACTATATTTATAATGTAAAAATTGAGATTATACTTTCATGGTTATATATTATGTTGCCTATAACAAATTATTTATAAGCCTATTGTCCACTAGTGATAATAACAAGTATTTTAAAATAATCAAAATTATTATAATGATAATAAGGCAACTAAGAGGATACCTTGAATGCTCAACATATTTTATGGCCATTTTACTATAAAACTTCTCTGTCGTATGACTGTTAATAATATTAACATTTTATAGGTTTATAGGTATATGTGTGTATGTGTGTGTGTGTGTGTGTGTGTGTGTGTGTGTGTGTGTGTGTGTGTGTAAATTCTGTCTACAATATTAAGCACTTCATATATTATAGACCTGTGAAACAAAACGAGATGGGCCACATCGTAAATGTTTGTGTTTTATTATTAGTATTCCACTATGAAAATATATGTACAATAAATATTTTGGATTTTCACTATTAAAGACTCTCAATAAATAAACTAGCGTCTAAAACTCGAGTCGTCAGCAGGGCTTCCCCCTCTCGTCTCGTTCAGAGGGAGAATGAATTCATTCTTCAGTTTAGATTTAGTAAACGCAGTCCAGCTGTCTGCACCTAGACTCCGTGAGCAGTTCCTGAGAAGTTAAGGATCCATCAAGCTGCACCAGAATGGACAATAGGAAATAAATCCACACGGACAGAAAAACTTTATCAGTTTTAACAAAAGTGATCAAAAACAAGAAAGGCAATAAATACCTGACTTTTAGACAAGGGGAAAGAAAAAATCCTCAACGTTTTGATGTTGAAAGAGAACTATTTTCCTTCGATGTATAAAATAAAATAAATTAATTAAATTAAATTTCTTAACTACATTATAGCCGCAAATTAAAACCAGCAAGATGATGAAAAAAATGTTTTTCAAAACGATCATGATTTCCATTCAGAAATGTTTCAGGAATGTTGCCGAGAAGCTTTTATTCTTGTCCTCACCCAGTGCTGCGTCCTCCGCTCGATTGTTAAGTCCCCACAGGCCTGTCCGTCCACTCCTCCTCTCCCCCTTTTTTAAATCTTAATTTTCATTTATGTTTAAAGGCTGCAGCTGGCCTCAGAAATTAAGGTGCTGCAGGTCTATGGTGCACAGTGTGCTTGTGAACAGATCGAAGTCCTCCTCGGAGAAATCCACCGGGCTGTCCAGGGAGCTCTGCAGGCTGGGCGACAGGCAGGAGTCCCCAGCGAAGAACGTCAGGTCGGGGAGCGCGGATGAAGAGGAGGAGGAGGAGGCAGGTGGAGCAGAGGAAGAGCTGGAGGTGATGGAGGTGTCCCCGTGCTTGGAAAATGAAGGATCGGACGCCGCTGCTGTCGCCGGCCCGGCCTCGCTCAGCTGCATCAGGCCCGGGTTATTAACGGAGTTCGTCGTGGTGAACGCCGGCGGCGAGTGGTGAGGCGCAGCAGCGTCAGAGGAGCCAGATGCAGCGAGCAGCGATGGGCATTCAGAACAGCTCAAATGGTCTCCCTCCTCCGGCGTGGGCTGTACATTGTCCCCGCGGGGGGACCTGTGGCCGAAGATAGATTGCTGCTCCCCGTCTCTCCCTCCGATGTAGCATCCACGGTGCCAGATTCCTCCAGCGGCTGGCTTGAAAATGAAGATGAGGCATCAGCGCCTTCGAGCGGCTCAAAGCCACCCGGGTCACTAGATTCATGGCCTCCACCACCACCGTCCCGGTTGTTCGTGGTCTGACGCTTGTGTTTCATCCGCCGGTTCTGGAACCAAACTTTGACCTGTCGCTCGGTCAGATCCAAAAGCGCGGCGATCTCCACCCTCCTGGGCCGGCATAGGTACTTGTTGAAGTGGAACTCCTTCTCCAGCTCTAGCAACTGCGTGTTGGTGTAGGCTGTGCGCAGCCGGCGGGACCCGGCTCCTCCACCATCCAGAACCGCCTGGCTCGGGTCTGCAAGAAGGCAAAGACAAAAGGGAGACAGAGAGAAATTATGTGTAGAATTTAGAGTGAAAAATCTTTAAAAGCTGACCTCTCCTCATTTTTTATTTTGATTTTATATTTCGTTTAACTTCGAATTGTAATCTACTTCATAAAAAACCTATAAAGCCTCTAAACTTTTATTGCGTATAAGATTTCCAGCCAAGAAATAAGCCTGTTTCAGCATCGAGCAGAAATCCCCTCGGCTCTCCTGTCTGTAATAAAACCGTAATAAAACAAAAAGTCTCATAAAAAACACTCCTTCCAATTATAGTAGCAGCCAAAGTCATAACTGTAAGAGCGGACCAATTTGGTGCAGGGGAAAAAAAGAAAAAAGTAAACCCAAACAAAGCGCAGATAAAGACAAATGATCAAAATGTCAGAGTGGGTTTCCCTCCTCTGTGCGGTGCCTGGAGCGCAGTGAGCCTGCGGTGAGAGGCTGCGGCGTGTGATCAGACATGCAAAGAGAGGAAAATAAAAATAATCATGCGATGGGGAGGAAATGAGCGGGGAAATGTGGGGATGTCGATGCCAAACGAATGTGGCGGTATCTGTCAGAAGCCAAACTAAAACCCTGAGTGGCTTTATGAGTGAGATCAGAAAAGGCAGGAAATTGAGCAAGAAAGGAACACGAGAGAAAACAAGAATTTCCATTAAAAATGAACGGGACTGGGATTGTGTGGTTGTACGTGTGTAGAAACCAAAACTTAGAGAAACGTGCACTGAGGTCAGTGAAAAAGACAGAAATGACCAGAGCCCTTAGAAAATCAGATTGTGTGCAGCTTGTATCCTGTGTGGCTGCAGCTTCCCCTCCCCCACTCCCCATCCCAACATAGTTTGTCCGCTCGCCATTATATTCTCCCATCCAATATGGCTACCATCTCAGTGTTATGAATATATAATACCAGGGCGATGCTGGTGCTGATCAGAAATCACACCACCCAGTGAACAGTGGCACAGGCTGCAGCAGCAGTCATCTGCAGTGTGGAGAGAGAAACCCCCCTCTGCGCGTCTTTACGCACCATGAACTGTTGTATATGCACAAAATGCATTTTGGTAATTTAGGCTATAGGTGGTACAGCAATAACAGGATGCGGGTGTAGAAGCTCTGCACTCAATTTGAAGCTGATTCATAAATACCAACTCATTAAATGGCAGATATGATGTGTGTAAGG